TAGAAAGGAATGTTGAAGGAATCACACCTCACAAAGCAAACATCAGAGTTTTATAGACATCCATTAATGTATGCAGGTGATACATTCCCCTATATCCATACATGGGGTTTTGGGGATGGTCTAAGGAGGGGTTGAGGTGGTCCCTGAAAGTTGAATCTAAGTTTAACTTTTTTCTTCTTTTTATCTCTCCTTTGGAATCTCAAACCTCTTTGGACATTGGCCTAACACCAGCCTGGTACAGAATTAATGTATGGCTACAGGCATCTGGCTAATTGCTTCTAAGGGAGATGGGGTAGAGGAATGGTGTGCTCTTTATAAAGTAAGTTAACCCTTTAAAATAGAGTGCACTCTTACAGGTATAGTTATACATTATGTGAAACATATATATATCTCTATAAAATATATAGAATATAAAATCGTGTACTAAAATAATGCCCTTCATGAATAATAGCGGCTCCTTTGGATCATTATGATACAAATGTTTCTCATTCCCTTGCCAGATAATTCCGTGTGCTACTCTCAGGCTACAGTTCCCAAAATATTCAAATCATGTATAGCACATTCAGAAAGCCATGGAGGTGAGTGAAACAACCAGCCATACATAGAAAACATATCTATCCTCTTATAGTAAATGTATTTGAAATTAAAATGTACATGTGCCAACATATTACATGGAATAAACAAATGAATAAATGGAACTTTAAAGTTCAAGAGCTAATGAAATGAACAGGGTCATTATGGATCTTGGCTTAGTGAATTCCATCCTGTTCTGTCTGTTACGGCCAAAAGATTAAAACGTGCATTCTAAAGCATTGGCTTATGAATGTTTCCCAACTGTCCAACCTATGTCAAATAAACCAGCATGGAATAAATTCCTCTATGGAAATTGTAACTAGAACTGATTCTTACTGAGAAATCTCTGCATGCTGCTACTTCTTCAGCCACAGAAAGCCATCCTTGATTTTAAATGGCTTCCTCACCACAAAAAACAAAGCAAAACTGGGGTGGGGAGGGAGGTCATCAGATATGGGGTT